TGCTGTAAAGGAGACAGAAGTCCGAAGCAAGATTTGGGTCCATTCATTTCGTTTGCCGCGCCAACAGCGCTGCAAACGAGTGCTGAGTGATGTGCTTCAGAGCAACATACAGAGGGTGGTCATGTTAAAACTGTGTTTTTGCCTGGGTTTTAAGCACATTCTGGGTCTTTGCAGGAATATGTGAAGAAGTGTGAATGTTTGGTTTGCTTTGGAAGAGAGGTTGTTCTCTCCGTCGATTTTTTTAACGTTTTTTTTTCTGAAATCGGAAAAAACCTCGAGTTTTTGCTGTTCCGTGCTTACCGAAATGCACGCAGCATCTCCTTTTAGGCTTTCTCGACCAATCAATCTCCTTTCAAGGTTTTGGGTTCGGCAAGCAACATCTCCGTTTAGCTTGTGGGGTTTCTCAGCCAATTTCTCCTTTTTGGGCTTTGGGTTTGTCGAGCAACATCTGGTTTTAAGGGTGTTGGGTTCGGCAACCAACATCTCCTTTTGGGGTATTGGTGTCGGCCAGTAACATTTCCTTTATGACTTAGGGCCGTTTCGGGTTTCTCAACCAACACCTCCATTTAAGTTTCTTTGCGTTTGGTATGCAACATCTCCTTTTAGGGGTTTTGGGCTCGGCAAGGAACATCTCCGTTTGGGGTTTGGGGCTCTCAGTTCCCCAACATCTCCTTTTCCGAGTGCCAGCAGAAAGGTTCTCGGTTTGAAGTTGGGGTTCCAGGGGTCCAGGACTTGACAAAATGCCGCTCGTTTGGGTTCTCGAAGCGTCCTCGAAGCGTTGGCCTGTGTCGCGGTGTCACGCTCCCGCCGGAGTTTGCGGGAAAGCGTTTCGGGCGTGCCGTGGGAAGTGCCGGGAGTGGCGATCGGCGGCCGGACCTTGCGGGAAAGCTTTCTGGAGGGTGTGGCGGGGAGTGTCGGGTTCGGCAACCAACAACTGTTTACAGGGTCCCACACTTCGCTTGAAGGTTCTGGCCAACATCTCCTTTTCGGGTTTGGTTCGGCAGCCAACCTGTCCTTTTACAGTTCGACGTTGTTCAGCAACTTCTCCATTTAGGGTTTTTGCGTTTGGCCTTCGCCCGGCCCGCGTCCCACGGACACAGCAAAAAAACACCTTTATCTATGTCAGCGACTGGACAATTGTTGTGTCATTAAGGAGCCGGTCAGCGCGGTTAATCATTGTTGGGAGAGCAATTTAATGATATTTGGACGTGGGTCAACACAGGTCTTGAGCTTCACAAGACAAACTCTTGAGCTCTTGCAGGATGATGATCCGGAAGCAAAATCGTGTGTTCTGGTGTTTGTTCCGCACGTTGTTCAACTAAGCTGCGCTCGGAGGCTTGGCCAATTCTTTGCAGGCCGCTGTATGTCGCGGGCAAGCGCCTGCAGGACCAAGCAGGAAGAAAGCCTGGTCGTTTCTCAAGATTGGTTCTGGCCAGGACAGGCGCAGCGGGTGATGACTTCGTGGTTATACTGCGACACCTAGCTGATCCAGCCTGAACCTCAGAAAATCACAGACATTTGCCGACATTGACTCATACAGATGCTTGATGTCAGTTCGGGTGGAACTGAGCTCTGGCACGCCTAGCCTCTAATAAGAAAACTCCTAGACTGCCCCAGCGGGAATGCAAACAATATACCTTCGATGCCACATGCACGTGACGGTACTGATTCATTTATGCTTCGGGTCCTAGTGCCTGCGTGGTTGCCAGGCATTCGGAAAGACTGAGGCCTTCCTGCAGGAAAACCGACAGTCGGTGCTGATGCCACTTCCTGTCATGCCTGCCCAGTTGCTGGGTGCCAAATTGCCGGTTTATGAGGCAAGTCTGCCCCAGCAGCGCTTCATGGAGAACCGTCCGAGCCTTTGACACGGACTTCTGAGGTGATAGTGGATAAATGTGAGTAAGATATGTCCGACAATGATTGTGTGAACTGACTGGACAGAAGGTGTGGCAAGAGCCGAAAGAAGAGGTACGTGCTGTGGCAAAATGCATACTATCTTCAAGCATATCGGCATCCAGCGGTGGCCTAGGTCCAAATGGCGCCGAGCCGGGAAGCCCAACAGATAAACGATTAGGTCAGGGCAGGGTCAGGGGTTCAAGAAGTTCGCAGCTGGCATCGCCATGACATGGGTTCGTGACGAGGTCAAAGTATTACCAAGGAGAGACGTGGGTCACTTAGCACTGCCGCGAGATGGCACAGCCACCGTTCTTCGTCAAGCATGCAGCATGGCTTGCCCTTGCCCAGGTTTGGTCAGCTCTACAATGCCAGCTTGCAGCGAATATTCAAGTTCATGCAGGATCAGTGTGCGGCGGGGGGTTGGGCTGGCTGGGGTAGGGTGGGTGGGGGGTGGGGCCCGGGACAGGAGGGGCACGACGTTTTGGGAGTGTGAAAGATAGTCGAACAAGAAAACTCCCACAGCCCTTCCCGCAGGCCGAATGCGAAATCCCATGCAGTAGACCTCAAACCCCACGAAGAGCGCTGTATGCACTTCGACGTGGCATCGGCGGTACGGGCCGCAGCGAAGGCCGCGCAAGACGCGGCCATGCTAGAAACGGCAGGGAAGGTGGTGCCAGCGTCGCCAGTGCCCAAGGGCAAAGCCAAGGCCGCGACGAAGGCTAAGGCCAAGGCGGCCGAAAAGGCAAAGGCCGCGGAGGCCAAAGCTAAGGCCACAGCAGCTGCCAAACTCGAGCGGCAGAAGCGCAAGCAGAAACGCCGCGCAGCAAAGGCTAAAGAAAAGGCACTCGCCGTCACAAGTGGCAGCAACTCCGCGAGGCGCAAGTCCACGCTGAAGCCACGCGCCCGCAACATGCCAGATCTAAGGACCCCAGCCGCGCGTGCGAGTACCTGGAGCACAAAGTCACGGAGGCCCAGCGCAAGGCAGACGCAGGGTTCGCCAAGAACGCGAGCTTCAGCAGAGAAGGTATAGGAGACCAGACACTTTGTCGATCTCTGTTTGCAAGGCTACGGGTTCACGCTGCGACAGCCGCCGCGCAGTAGTGAGTAAGCGTGTGTGAGTAAGCAGGCAGGCAAGCATGCAAGCAGGCAAGTGAGAGAGAGATCATCCTGGACCTCACCATCTACAAGCAAGCAGCGACCAAGCCACCGCGACCCACTTGGGGGAACCGCAGATACACCAGGGGGGTTGACCCGCAAAAGGAAGCCAGCCAGCCGCCGGAGCAAACGAACGCACACACAGCCATCAGCCAGCTGGCACAGCGCATCACAGAGCACGGCCGACCAAGCCAACGCTTCCATGAGAGCCCACAGCTCCGCGAGCTCAGGCAACGCGCACGCAGCGCTACAGGAGGGGAGGCCAGGGAGCTTTGGAAACAGGTGTCGAGGCGGAGGAAACAGGAATACAGAACCTGGTACGGGGGGCTAGTCACCCAAGCAAGCAAAACCAACTGGGGGGCGTACAGGGCGATTCAGCAAACCAAGGCGAGAGTGGGGTGGCAACACGCGCTCACGGACGACTCAGCATGGGAAAGCAAGCTTGCAGCCCATTTTCGCAGTATCTTTGCCAAGGCCCCCCCAGCCCGAACCCGCCGACGACTCGACGACACCCGGAGGGCCCTCATGCAGCTCTGCAAAAGAACCCCTTGGAAGCCGTTGACGGGGGAAGATCTTCGGTTTGCCACCCGCACGTGGAAGCGCAACAAGGCAACTGGGCCAGACTCCATCACCCATGAGCTGCTTTGGCAGCTCATCCAGGAGCCTGCTTGGGAGAGGCGCATCTTGCACATGCTCAACGACTTCCTCTACAAGGGGAGCTCCCGCCACCGGTGCTGCAGGGGATGACCAGGCGCTCCCCAAGACGCCGGGGGACGTGGGGGGACACCCGCCCCATCACCCTCAGCTCAGCCATCCTCAAATGGTTCGCACAGCTCCAGCCGAGCCATTGGGGGCGAATCCCCTCGATGAAAACCTCAAAACCCTGCAGGGACTCGCAGGGGCGCGCGCGATCCTTCTGTCCTGGTAGATAGAAAAACAGCGAAGAGAGTCTCGTGACCCACCATGGGGTTGCTTATTCACGTGGTGCACTGCTTTGGGTGGAGGCCCGGTTGGAACCGATACAGTGTTCAAGGGGCTGGGACCACATAGCAGATGCAGCCATCGGTCACCGAGATGGTGGTCGTGTGGTTGTTTTGCGTACTTGGTCGGAGCCACAGCTCCGAAACGCAGAGGTCACCACACAGACAGTGTTGAGCCACATCAGATCCCGATGCTAGCTGCTCCATGGCAGGGGTGGTGGTTGTGAGACTCGCTATATCCGACCCCTGCGCCCAACAAAAAGAAAGCGAAAGAGTGCGAGAGCACCGTGTAGACCTGCACCAGAGGGGTGACCCCCATACGGGATTTCGCCCTGGCTCTCGCTCTCTCTCTCTCT